GGGATATTAATAGATACCCTTTATTTATCTAATATTTATCTTTTATATTATACCAGTATTCATCCTTTATATTATCATAGATCTGCCAAATAACTGTAGCAAATCAGGTTAAGAGTGAATACATAAAGGATAGATATCGAGATGATAAAAGGATCCTATTATATATCATTTATGTATTTATTGAACCTGTGGTATATTGTATCTTTTAATTTCTTTAAATAGTGTTGGGATACTATTAAATCGTAGACTTGAAAAGTATTCTAGTACTAATCAAGTAGTCTGAATTGATAATACTATTATACCCCAAGAGTATTAGTAACAATAATATCCTGTTTCGTTGAGAATTAGCAGAAGCAAAGTTTCCACTTATTCATATACAGTTAGAGTATTATTAATCCTCCTGTGATCTTGATATAGTAATCAGAATTATTTAACTTATTTAAGTATTTTTGAAAGACTGAATACTATATACAGCACTATATAATAGTATAGAATCTATGATTATTGCAGTATTTTTTTTTTTTAAAAAAAAAAACTATTATAATCATATTTGATTTGCTATTTAGAAAGTTTTATTTACAAATTTATATCTTTTTTATTTACAGATTTTTGCAAGATATAGTAAAATTATTAAAACTGATTGAAAAAGTAACCTGCCGACTATGTAGTACTAAATACCCAACTCTTAATCTTGTTTATCTATATATGGAACTACTTAAAAAAAGATTTGGCTCAAAAGCCGAAGAAACGATAGATACCTACTTGAATCTTATTTATGAAGAAGTTGAAAGTAAAAATAATGAAAGTGATAAAACAAGTAATGATGATATTCCAGCTACTGATACTTGTCAACAATGACAATATGCGCATAAACAATTTAGCCAAAAGATGGCTGCTCGTAGTCATAGTTATAGTTGAGGACAAAATAAGAAAACACGAGTATGATCTAATAATAAGGAATTGGATAATATAATCAAAGTAGAGGATTTGTAACCAGTTTCTACTACTGGCTTACTTAATAGAGTTCGGGCTACTATTAATTTATCAATAGATAAATTATGGGCAGCACTATCAGATATTGCTTTAATTGCTATATTTCTTGATCCAAGGTTCAAACATTTTAATTAGGCAACAAGCGTCGAACAAAGCAAAGCACAAAATTTGGTAGCAACCCTGTATAGAGAGTTAAAGATAAATCTTTCAGTTCCAGATGATATTGGAGAAAGTTTGGCAGATAGAAGTTATAATGATGATAGTAATTTTTTTCAAGAGTTAGAAGCAGACTTTACATAAACGAACATGAAAGAAGATGAGATAACACATTATGTAAAGTTACAAGAAATCAAGCTTAATGATGATCTTTTAGAATAGTGGTTGAAAAATAGAAGTAACTTGCCCATTTTAGCTCAACTAGCACACAAGTATCTCTCTATTCCAGCTACTTCTATACCAAGTGAAAGATTATTTTCTGATATCGGCAACCACATTTCAGCAAAACGAACACACCTATCACCTGACTTAGTAAATAAGATGTTATTTTTAAAGCGCAATAGAATTCATTTTGATTTATTTCCACTACTAGAATAATCATTTAGTTTTCAGATAGCTAATCATCAAAATTATGTTAAAATTTATTAAACGTCTAAGAAGATTTGAATTTGAATCTTATAGGCAATATATATAAAAGATTCTGAAACATTTTTTTTATTATTTCTATTTTTTATTCATGTATAATTTTTAAGTTAGCACGCATGCAAAAATAAAAAAATATATATATTCAATATATTATCTCTTAAACCGTATTCCAGGCAAATTTGTCTGAAAAATTTAATTGTATTTAGTATTTTTTAAATAAAATAATAATTTATTAATAATA